TCCACAGGCACTACCCCTGCAGCTCCCATTGGCTGCGGTTGCGCTTTGAGCAGGGGCGGCGCTTGGGGCAGGGGCAGTGTGCGGTGCCCCCTGGTTGCCCCTACACCTAGGAGCTGGAGGAGGGACATGCTGCTGCTTCCGGGAGCCGCGCAGAGCCACGGCACACATGCAGTGGGGCAAGCCCCGGATCCCGCACCCCGGGAGGAGCTCAAGGGCCAGATTAAAACACTGAAGGGCCAGATGCGGCCCCCAGGCCATAGTTTGCCCACCCCTTCTCTAGTTCATCAGAATGGCCTTTGTGACTGTAATGTCCATATCACAACTTTACCAAGACTTCCTAACTCTTCAGTGAAGGTCACTGTCAGTACAAAGTGGATGTTTCCTCAACAGGCCACATCCTCTGTCCTCTCTCTGTGACACATTTAGAGCACCAGTCATTGATTTCAGAAATGTTCTGCTGCTAACTAGACAAAATGTTCCACTCCTTGATGAATTCAAATAGTGAGATATCTCTTACAAGAGTGGTATTACATCTTAATAAATTGCTTAATGTTTCCTTTGCCTTGGGAAATTTGGTTAATGACACTGAAACAACACGTCTGTCCATTCACTGAAGCAATCAGTCACTCCAGTAATGACACAGTTTCAAAGGCAATACCAGTGGCATACAGCCTGTGCACAGAGGGTCAATGATGTCAACCAGCTTGATGGAAGTTAGGTGCTGCGGGACACAGTGGGGATTATGAGGCTTCTAGTTCGGTTGCTTATTGTCATATCAGCAGGGAGAGCTGGGCGAAGAATTATTACAAGCAGTGACATTGCTTCCCCTCCCAAACTGCACCAGCATCTAAAGTAAAACTCATTTACCTTTAGGAGAGGAAGTCAGCTTTTGAGAGATGGACTTTGCAGGTGTGTGCAACACATTAGTGAGTGTGGTTACAGGTCCACATCTGTGCCCAATCAGCAGAGGACAGGAGTCTGTTACTGGCCCAGCTAGAGAGCCTTAGCTCTCTAACTCAAGCTGCCGGAGTGCTAGCACACCTAAATTTATGCTCTTCCAGACAGGCTCTTTAAACAGTACTCCATTGTTTTGACTACTAGTTCCCTGGCAGACCAGACTTTTGACTGAATGCAACAAGTCATGCAGTTTGTCAAAGCATCAAGAGAAGGCATGTGGCTTCACCCCTAATGAAAAGAGCTCACCTCCAAACCTCTGCCTCCGGGACCCTCAACCAGCCCTAAACAGCAAATACTTCCTTATCCAGTGTCCTGTATGCGGCTTGTGTCTCTCCAGTTTGAAAGAAGTCAAATGGATAGGCCAGGACTTCTCATCCCACTCAGTTGTGATAGGTACGTTCTTGAAAGTGACCAGATAAGCTTCAGGGTTCTTCTGGTTCCATTTAGACTTATTGGCAATGGATGCAGCAGCTGCTTCTGGGTACTTCTGTTGCTATTGGGTTGCAGCTTGGGCTTAGTGCAGTTGCTGGAAAAGTTGCAGCTGTTTCTGCTCTTCAATAAGTCACAGCACGGTCTGCTACTGTTGTTTCTGCTCTTTCAGCATCCATTTCAGGACTTCCACTTTTCTTCTTGGTGCAGAGGATGTTCAATCCCACTCTGGATCCCACGTGTAAGATGGTACACCTCCCACCCTGCTGCCGACAGAATCTGCACACATTGTATATTGTCCAAACTCACCCCCTTCTTGGAATCTCAGTTAACTGGTAATTCTAACAACCACCAAAGAGAAAAATCTAAAAACACCCTTCAACCTTGGATGTTGCTCAGTTTCTCTGCAGGACTTCCTTGGCCTCAGCCCTGGTTCCTTTTTCCCCAGGCAGCCATTCCAAGCCTCTTATATCCTGACTGGAGTGAATAATGGGACTTGCCAGAATAAGTCAGTAATTACTCTGCATCTTTTGACAGGGTTCTAGTACTTGAGCTTAGGATGACTTGTATTCCTCTGCAGGATTCTAGAACCTGACAATCTGTTACTGTACATGTATGTCTGCTCCCTCGTCCACCTGCTAGTCTGGCCCTTTGTACAGGCTTTAACAGTTATGATTTATCTATATCTCCACTTCTCCTCGGCTTTAGGTGCTATTGACATCATAGTAAAACCACACAAATTCCTCTGTAATGTACCATAGAAAATGACAAGAGAAAGATGAGAAAATGTACTGTAAGGCTATGTCTACATGATGAGCTAGAATCTCACCTGCTGTACACATACTCACGCTACTCAGCATGGAATTTTTGTAAGACTGTATTTTTAGATTTCAAGCTGAGTAAAGTGTTGACAGAACAAGTGAACCCTTGTGTTACCTTGTACTTTCCAACTTTATGACTTAGAGCTGCAGTTAAACGGTGGGAACTACCATGGAAGGATAGGCATTGTTCTGGAAGGTACTTTATGTGAGGCACTGTAAGGGAGTTGGACTCACCCCTGCGGTGCCTCCTGCTGGTCATCCATGGGAATTAGCTCATCCCAGCTCCGGAGTGCCCTCTGCAGGCCGGTGATCCACCTTACCACTGGCCCCCGTGTCCCTCCCAGGACTCCGGTGCCCCTTTCTCCGGGTTGCTGCCCCCACACTCTGGGTCTCCCCACCCAGGGGAACCCCCACCCACTAACCCCACTTCGCCTCAGTCTTGGCTACTGCCCAGTCTCCATGTAGCCCCCATTCACTGGGGCAGACTGCAGTACAAGCCACACATTACAGGCAAAGGGGTTTGGACCTGCTGCCTCTGCCTACCCATGAACTGCCTCCTGCAACCCAAGTGCCCCTTTGGCCTTACCCTAGGCCTGCAGCCTGGGGCTTTCCTAGGCCGGAGCTCCCCGGCTCCCTTGCCTTTCCCCAGCCCTGCTCCACTCTAGGCACTTGGTTAAGCACTCTGCAGCCAGGCCCTTCTCTCCCTGAACGCGGGGAGAGACTGTCTGAGCTCCTGGCTCCCAGCTGTCTTATACAGGCCAGCTGTGGCCTGATTGGGGTGTGGCCCAGCTGTGGCCGCTTCCCCAGTCAGCCCAGCTTTTAGAGCTGCAGCCCTCTCCAGGGCTGCTTTCCAGCCCTCCCAGGCAGGAGCGGGTGTCCACCCCGCTACAGGCACAATTTAAGCTTTATTAGCTCCTCCTTGGACACTTATGCTGTGTCTTCAGTGCAAGCTAGGGGTGTGACTCCCAGCTCATGTACATGTACTTGCGCTAGCTCAATGACAGTTAGTGTGAGTATAAATAGTAGCGCAGCCATGGTAGCATGGGCAGTGGTGGCACAGCTTAGCCGTGCCAAGTACAAACCCTCCTGAACCTTGTGGACAGGAGTCTCTGAGCTGCAGTAGTGAGTCTCAGAGCTGGGTCAACTGACTTGGGCTCACAGTGTTGGGCTAAAAGAGCAGTGAAGATGTTTGGGCTTGGACTGGAGCCTGGGCTCTGAGACCCTCTTCCCCCTGGTCAGGTTTCAGATCCTGGACTCCAGCTTGAGCCCAAACATCTACACTGCTATTTTTAGCCCCACAGTGCAAGACCTGTGAGCCCGAGTCTGTTGACCTGGTGGGCTCTGAGACTTGCTGCCGTGGGAGATAGATATATATATATAGCAGTGTAGATGTGCCCAGAGAAAATAATTAAAGAAATTATACAATAGTTTACCAAATAGATGTTTTATATCTCCCTCTCTGTCGCCATCTCTCTTCTATGCTGCCCTCAATGCATGGAATACCCTCCCAAACTTGCACAACAAGCCACCACCTTATCTTTATTCCATTTCCTCCTCAAAGCCTACAAAGAGTGAATTAATTAACCAATAAAAATGATGCATCCGCCAAAAGATACACATTCCATACCCGAGCAAATGCATGATCTCATTAGTGTAACCTTTGTCTTTTCTAACTCCATCTCCTTTATTATTTATTACTCTAGTTGTTTCATCATGTATAGAATTAGCTCTCAGAATTTCTGAGCCCTTTCACTATATTTGTTCTGAAAAGTCACTCATGCATTTTTAAAAATTAAGAATGAGAATTAATAATGTCACATGTCTATGTGCAACAACTGTCAACTGGGTTGTCAACAGGGATTGTACCTCGGACCTCAAGAGCTGCTTCTATGGCTTGAGCTAAAGAGCTAATCCTTTACCTGACAAGGGTAGCACATGCCTATCCTTTGTAGGCCCAGCACAGAGAGGGGACAAGAAACACACATTGAACAGTTGCTTATGTATGCTCACTTGTACAAATGTTAAATGTTCGTAGTATTGCATTTCCATAAGACCTATTCAGACAGAGTTTTTTATTCTCATTTTTGGGAGCTATTCTGAGTAAGAAAAGGCACCTTCATCTTGAGAGACGGTAAATCTGAAAAAATCTATGACAGATCAGCAAGACAAAGTCATAATTTGGCATTAGGACAGAATGGGAAAGAGCAGGTTTCGCCTAAGGAGAAGGATATAAAGTTATTTAGCATTCTTCAGGCTGACAGTAATCATTTTTTATGCCCCTCTCATGAAAAAGCCAAATGACAAAATAACCATTTGAGGAGCCAGTACCAATCACTTCCAGAAAGTTCAAATATTTACTTTTGTCAGCATTAGTTGAAGGGTATTTGAGAGGTAATAGATCAGGAGAGTCTACTCTAGTTAATCCATGATATCCTCTGAACAATCAGAAAGAAGACAAGGTAGATGGGAGATGCAGCGTTTGTGAGAGAACTTTAGAAAGCAAGAATATGGAGATGAGAACGTGATAGATCCAGTTAATGTTATTTACTTACAAGCATTCTGTCCAGACCAGGTTCTCTTAGGAACCTTGAATCATACACAGAAACACTGAAATAAATACAATTACAAAGGACTAGTATAAATATTGCAGATTCTTCCTAATTTCAATCTGGCTAGTCATCACCACTTCGTTTTTAATATGGTTTATAAGTAAGCAGAGCCACCTGTAATAGTAGCTTAAAAACACCCAGAAAAATGACATGAGTGCAATCTGAACAATTCAATATCCAAGTGCTAAATCGTGGTGACCTTATAGTTTTATTACTCTTATTACAACATCTGGGTACACTTTACATACTTTAAATCAGGAATTCAAAATACATTCCTCAAAACAGGGAGCATATACCAGCTATCCAGAAAGGATCAGCTGAAAGGGAATACCTGCCAAGAGACTAAATGCCAGAGGTTTTCCAGAAACCTATGGTGAGGAGAAAGGCTAACAAAAAAGGTGCTTAAAGAATGATCTAAAAGCAGCCAGGCTTGAGCTCAGGTATACTTCCAGGTACAGCAAAATCTCGAGGGTCCTGACCATACCTTGCCCCTGGCTCCTGTAATATTGTGGTGGAGGAAGGAACAAGGAGCATAAAGAGACTCATGCATTTACAACAGGTGCAAGAGTTCTCAGGAAGGTAACCCTGAAGCATCCTAACCAACATATTATAGTCCTCTGTAGGAACTGGAGGACTCAGAGCTCTAACTCTCCACAGGCTCCACTTTTAGGACAGATAGCTGAAAGGTTCCTCCCAAATGCAAATGCCATGATTGAGCACAGAGTTCATCTTTATAGCAGTATAAACTGCAGAGTGCTCAAGTATGTACCCTAGGTCCGAAGCAGGCAGGATTGCCCACGCTGCCATAGCTTCACTGCTATTGTTACTAGAGCTAGGATATGTATACATGGGCTGCAATCACACTTCCCAATTGCAGTGTAGACATAAGCGAAGTGTGGTTACTGCACCTTTGGGGTGGGACTTTCGAAAGTGTTCAGAATTGACTTAACTGCTTCTACTGAAGTCAGAACTCCTATTGACTTTATTGAGTACAGTGGCCCACTCTGAGATACAAAAGAGAGACATCTGGGATGATCCTGAGCCCATAAAACTGGACAACTGGCGGTGTGTTCTGATTACACTTAAAGAAGTCCTGGGACAGCCACTCAAACAAAAAGGGAGAGGTGGCAGCCCTGTCACTGGGAGCTGAGTTGTTGAGCATTTTTGAAAACTTTCTAGGCTGTAGACTGCAAAACTAAGGCTGGAGACTGAACCCAAGAGAGAAGTGGTGCTGCATGACACTTGGAAATAAGGATTCTCTCATTGTGCCAACTTGATCCATTCTTGTTGTTACTTTATTTTCCTTCTTATTGTAATTCTGATCCCATTAGAGTCACTGTTGTTAATTAAAAGGCATTTTTGGCTTTTGGGAGACATAACAACCAGTACCAGGCATTTCACCAGGAAGTGAACTGGCAGCCAACGCAGAATGTGGACTCCTCAAAAGGTGCGTACCTGATGAAAAGGAGACATAGACAGTAATAAAACTGAATACAGATAAAATCTCACCCTCAAAGATGTTTCAATAAGTTTCTTTCACAGACTGGACGCCTTTCTTGTCTGGGCACAATCCTTTCCCCTGGTACAGCCCTTGTTCCAGAACAGGTGGTAGCTAGGGGATTTCTCATGATGGCTCCTCCCTTTGTTCTGTTCCACCCACTTATATATCTTTTGCATAAGGCGGGAATCCTTTGTCCCTCTCTGGGTTCCCACCCCTCCTTCTAAATGGAAAAGCACTGGGTTAAAGATGGATTCCAGTTCAGGTGACATGATCACATCACTGTAAGACTTCATTACCCACTTGCCAGCACACACATATACAGGAAGACTTATAAGTAAAACAGAGCCATCTGCAGTCAATTGTCCTGGTTGATGGGCGCCATCAAGAATCCAGACCACCATTAATGGCCCACACTTTGCATAATTACAATAGGCCCTCAGAGTTATATTTCATATTTCTAGTTTCAGATAAAAGAGTGATACATTTATACAAATAGGAAGACCACACTCAGTAGATTATAAGCTTTGTAATGATACCTTACAGAGACCTTTTGCATGAAACATATTTCAGTTACGTTATATTCAAACTCATTAGCATATTTTCATAAAATCATATAGAGTGCAATGTCATACAGCCCCCTGTGATCGCTTTGAAAAGTACAGATAAATTCATCTTAAAACCACTCCATCCAATATGCTGTAATTGAATCAGTAGCATCTCATGACCAGCTGTTTCAAAGCTGGCTGATAAACCTAGTAGATGACGATCTGAATTTAGTCTATTAACCTGAGGAGATAGCTGAAAATTAAGATTATGATTTTGTGTGATACCCAGATAGGCATCTGAGTGTTTGGGGTCCAGAGAACCAGACTTATGCCAGTAGCAAGCACTTACTTTCTGACAAAACTAAGCAAATGCGGTCCAGAGAAAAAGATTATCAGGTGGTTCCAAAAGGGTCCAGAAGACAGCAACAAACATGATAAAAGGTTTAGAAAGGAAGATTAAAGGGGGGACCTGATAACAGTCTTCAAATATGTAAAGGGCTGTTACAAAGAGGACTGTGATCAATTGTTCTCCATGTCCACTGAAGGTAGGACAAGAAGTAATGGGATTAATTTGCAGCTAGGGAGATTTGGATTAGATATTAGGAAAAACTGTCTAACTATATGTGTAGTTAAGCACTTGAATAGGCTTCCAAGGTAGATTGTGGAATCCCCATCACTGGAAGTTTTAAGAACAGGTTAGACAGGGATGGTCTAGTTTACTTGGTCCTGCCTCAGCACAGAGGGCTGGTCTAAATAATTTCTCAAAGTTCCTTCCTGCTTCTATGAAATTGTTGTGATCATATTTAGAGATGAGTGAGCAGTAAATTATTCTATTCATTTATTATTCATATCAATTATTCCAGTAACATTTCCTATTCTATTAATTATTTGAGACCTAGTCAAAGCAGAGAGCTGTTAGAAGCAGCTACAGTAGGAAGCCCTTTGGAGTTTGACTGGGTTTGTTTTCCACTGAAAGTGATGAAGCCAACTGAACAGTTCTTCATGCAAAAGAAAATACAAAAATTGCATGCATTTGCTAAGGAAATAAACAAAATCCTACCATCTACCCATCTCTTCTACCATCCACCCATCCCTCCTATTCCTGTACTCTTGGCTCCCCATTCTTTTCAGGATCCAGTCTAAAAATAATTTAAGTATTAAAATGCACCTGATCACTATGGTACAATATATACTGCAGGTGCCTAATTCTGAATGCCTTATTTTTAAAGTTCTCCATGAACTCGTTTTACTCCTCCTCACAGAATTTCTTTTCAATCCCCTCCCTGCCCCCCTCTTTGACTGGCTGTGTAAGGACTGCATGTCTTACCTGTTCCTGCAAGCCCTAGGAGCACAGGGACTGCTTTCTCCTGCAGAACTTCAAAAAGGGGACAGGGGTAGACAAGGAGGAGACAGGGCTTTGCCCCACAGAAAAAGGCCAGTGTACCAAGGTGAGAAATCTACTCCTACTGGCTGGGAAGAGATTGCATTGTTCAACCCTCATGTGGCAGGAGCATGAGGGACTGAGAGTGAGAAGTCTACTTTACCCCTTTGCAGTGTCGACAGCTCTTGGAATTTATCAGAACTAACACAGGCTTGGCCCCTCATATAGGAAGTCCTCTAATTATATGAAAACTTCTGGCCAACACATGATTTTTTGGGGTAGCAACATCAGAGGCAGAGAGAAAAAAACCCACACACAAACATGTAGCCCTGGGGAAGGTGCATTAAACTACAAAAACAGAGCCCATGAGCTCTACATTACAATTTTTAAGAAGGAAGGGGTCAAATTGGGTAATTTACACAAACAGTGTGGATCTGTGTCACTGTGTACTATAAAGACTATAACTGCTTGCTGTGTATTGTTGAAGTGGAAAAGGCTCATGCTTCAGAGTTCCCAGGTTCAAGCCCCACAGATGACCCAAATAGGTATGTTGTTAATTTAGCTATGCAGTCTATAATACAAGACAACAATCTGCTCCCAAAGCCAGGGGTAGACACTAAGAATCTTGATGCACAGCATTCCAGTGCTGTCTCACAAATACTTGTATAACTCACTGACAGTGTATGGGTGCATTGTGCCTCACTGTATGGGCTGCTCCACATAGAGGATGCTTTTGTTTCCCCCCCATACCAGCTACCCATAACTGAAGTGGGTAAGGTCTGTGCTGAGGCTCTGAAGAGTGTGCGTTCAAACACTGATGATGACCCCTAGGTGGGTTAAAAAAAGCATATATAGATAGAGATAAAAGTGTAAGTATTCTGGAGTAATTATAATGCAAAATCTTGTATTTAGAAGTAAATTTGGATACTATGTTCATATTTTACTGTTGCATTTTAATTATTTGTATTTGGCTAATGGCTCCTGTCTCTTTATGAACTGGGTATGGCAGACTGAGGCTGTGTTTGAGACAGAGCAATGTGTGAGAGATTTTCCTGTATGTCTAGGAACTGTAATACTCTGCCTGTGTAAACTCCAGAAAGCCCAGAACTTGCATTAGTAAACTTCATAGATTTTTAAGGCCAGAAGGGTCTATTATAATCACCTAGTCTGACCTCATACATAACACAGGCCATAGAACTTCACTTTCCAGGAGGCAACCTTCATTCTCAAAGGTGTAATGTTAGTTTTTGTGGGAGACTGGATGCCTCAGGGCATTGCTAATGAGCTATGAGCCTTTAATCTGTAAATCACCAGTAAGAATCCTACCCAACTCAGCAGGGATTAAAAGTTGTGGCCTTTAATGTAGTGGTTCTCAAACCTTTGTACTGGTGACCCCTTTCACATAGCAAGCCTCTAAGTGAAACCCCCCCTTATAAATTAAAAATACTTTTTTACATATTTAACACAATTATAAATGCTGGACACAAAGTGGGGCTTGAGGTGGAGGCTGACAGCTCATGACCCCCCATGTAATAATCTCGCAACCCCCCTGAGGGGTCCTGACCCCTAGTTTGAGAACCCCTGCTCTAATGGATGTTTAGTAGCCCCTATATGAAATGACTTTGAGATCCAGTTCTAGCTCCCATTCAGAAACTTGTATGCTTTACACTAGATTGTAAGCTTTAGGCCAGGGCTGTTTTACAACATGGTTGTACAGTGCTTAGTCCAATGGGGCTCCAATTTTGGCTGGATCCTCTAGTGAGAGCTGCGACAAAACTGCCTCACTCACTATAAATTTGCAGGAGTTGGCAACAATAAATCTGTCACACGCACATTGCGAATGGGCAGGGGGGTTCAGAACACAGCCCCAAAACATGATTTAATCTTTTTCAGAAACCCCATTTTTTTTTATCAAAATACATTTTTGCCTTTTATTTATAACAAACCAGGGCTTTTTGCTTTTCCTCCTGACATGGAAGAACCTCTCACAGAAGCACATTCAGCTCATTATTTTCTGACATTATAAAATGGTCTGATTCATGATTTTTGGACTTCTGGGGTTGGCGATACTGCATTAGGAGTATATTGAGTGCTTCTTCAGGAGATGTGGGACTCCACAGCACTCCCTAGGCAGTGCTAAGAACATAAGAACGGCCATACTGGGTCAGACCAAAGGTCCATCTAGCTCAGTATCCTGTCTTACGACAGTGGCCAGTGCCAGGTGCCCCAGAGGGAATGAACAGAACAGGTAATCATCAAGTGATCCATCCCGTCGCTCATTCCTAGCTTCTGGCAAACAGAGGCTAGGGACATCATCCCGGCCCATCCTGGCTAATAGCCATTGATGGACCTATCCTCCAAGAATTTATCTAATTCTTTTTTTTTCCCTTTTGCTAAGAATTAAAAGCCGCAATCTATCCCCATCTGTTTGCCACTTGTAATTAAATGGACCTTCGTGGCTTTAATTTTTCTTTCTACTATACCTTGCACACAATTTATTGGCTTTTAAATTAAATTGTCAAAAGATATTTTTGCCTTTCATTTATAATAAACCAGGATTTTTTTGCTTGTTTGTTTGTTTATTTTCAAGACTAAAGGGTACAGGACGGAAGACTCATGTTAGAAAATGTTAAACTACTGGCAGGCACTCCTGACATTGAGGAGATTCCCACAGAAGCACATTCTGCTCTCTATTTTCTCACGCTATAAAACATACTTTAACTTATAAACAGAAGATTTAAAGCATGGTTGCAACTGGAACATTTGGCTCTGTTTTTGCAAGTGTGTGGTCCACTGGAATTCTTTGTGACAAAAGATCTCAGTTTCCTGCACTGATCTCTTAGGGTACATCTATACTTACCTCTGGGTCCGGCGGTAAGCAATCGATCTTCTGGGATCGATCCCGGAAGTGCTTGCCGTCGACGCCGGTACTCCTGCTCGGCGAGAGGAGTACGCGGAGTCGACAGGGGAGCCTGCCTGCCGCGTGTGGAGCTGCGGTAAGTTCGAACTAAGATAGTTCGACTTCAGC